GAGCAGTTGGGGGTTTTGTTCCTTGCTCAAGGGTCTCACCTCAGTCGTGGTATTGAGGGTGGAAGAGACCCCCACCTACAATCCCTGCCGGTACCAAGACTCAAACCCGCAACCTTTATTTTACAAGTCCGACTCTAAACATTACGCCACGACTGCCCCCATCTACCAGCTGGTGCTAACTAGGCTAGCCAGACAAACCCCTTGGTGCAGTCTAATTGAAAATAAACTAAAGCTCATTACTATTTTCTTTAGACTTAATTTTTTTACACTTTCCCCCAGAGATGTAATAGTATTTGGTCATTTTTCAGCCATGACCTCAGTTGTCCTCTCTATGCACACTGCTCTCAGCAGCCTGGAAAAGCACTGAGCTGTCTCCCAGATATGCCTCTTCTAATTTTAGCGAAACAGTGGCTAATTATTCAAAGTATTAAGCATTAGTCAACAATAAAGGTCACCCAGGGCTTTTTAAAATAGTGAATGGGCAGTAAACAGAACAAAATGTTGTGTAAGAGGCCTGTGTACAACAGTAAAATGTTTTACCAATGTTATGGTAGGTCATTTTTTATTTACAGCATCTATACACACTGGAATGTATGTACGTTTTGGCTTAGAGGAAAAAAAAGGGCAGAGGTTTGCGAAAGTGATGTTCCATCATTCGACCATGTCTTGAGAAAATTGTACCTTTTGCCCTCCAAAGTTGTATCCACCCTCCAAAAACATTTCAGAATTGCAGATGCAGAGAGGATTTCTGATTGGCTGAAAAGGTGTTGGCCACTCCCAGATTGTTTATAGAGCCTTGGGGTGTCAGGTAGGATATTTCAGGACACATTTTAGTGATTGCCAGGATTTGATTTGGTGCATTCCAAAGAAAACTGCTTAAAGCACCTTTAATCTAAATGTAAACTAGTATGTACAGTATTAAGATGACATTGTATTTTCATAGTAAGGTGCCATCAGTAACTGAAAATCATGTGAAGATGGTTTTGTTCCCACTATGTGATTACAGTGCGCAGGTGTTATTCGTACACAAACACATCCGGTACATCTATTATGTGCAGAAATGACTCAGTCAGAGGCCTGTTGAAGGTCTCTTTTGTCACTTAAGCCTCATGCTGTCAACACATGCCCTGGATTTACAATATTTATAATCTCAGTCTGTTTCGCACTTTTTTTCCCTCCTTTGAACAAATACCGCCAGGTCTTGTTTGGAAAAATCCCTACTTAAGTTATTCATTCCGCAGCAACCAGGATCTGCCACTCAAATGTGACGGTGGACTAAAAAATTCACCATGTCGTACTACTTAATAAGATTTCAGCATAATTAAGATGACCAATTAAACTCGAATAAGTTTCAGGCTACCTATGATGTTTTATTCACACTCGGAAGACAGCCTCTCCGCCACCGCATTTCTCTCCTGTGGAAAAATATTACATTACATTTTCATTTGCTTGCTTAGGCTTTAATTAACTACACTTAGAAAGGCTCATGTGTTGTGGATTGGTAAGAGCATGGGTTTGGAGCCATGGAGTTAACTCTCTCTCGCAGGGCATGTCTCCAGAGACTTCTTTTACCTCTTCACAAACCGCCAACCAGAGCACGGCACAAAGGAGTCACTTAACTGGTTTAATTAGGACAGTAATTAATTAGATGATGTGGTTAAATATTTCGATGTGAGAAGAAAGTAGATGTTTCAGACACTATTTTGGCACTCATCACAGCTGCAAAATATAATGCTACAAATCCAGTTTCAAGTGCTCAGTGTAGATTGATTTCAGCCGAATCAAAGCTGTGGCATCAGAAGAGACAGAAGTCTGTTAGTACTGGGAAAAACAAAAACACCTCAGGCACTCTCCCCCCAAAAAGAATGAAAAATAAATGTAGAATTGCATATTACTTTTGTTTTAAAGGCACAATATGTAAGATTTTTGTATTAAAATATCCAAAAACCACTAGAACAGTGTTATATATTTTGCTGACTTGTGTACTTACATTATCCCAAAAGTTTCGAAGAATGTTTAAATCCAAAGAAATAAGCAATTTTAACTAGTGACACGGACCGTGTCCATAGTGTCATTGTGTCGCCTGCCAATGACGTCATAACCCCTCGATTTCCGGTTTTGTTTTGTAGAAAACATGAAAGCACCAAAGACGCTTTAATATGTTGTGTGTTTTATTAGACCAGTGACGACCGCACAGAGTAGCATTATAACAGAACTTTCAAATGTATCTAGTATGATAAAACAGCGCTGCTTTTTTTCCCCACATACGCACGGCCAGAAGGATCGGAAGCGGTCGACTGTGGCATAATAAAAGCTCCGCTGCTTT